TCACGTGTCTGAATTTATATCAATTCCATGTTTACAATTTGCAGGAAAACCTTCATCTCACATGTTGAATAAATCACGGTATAAATGGCAGCTTCGTAGCAGATTTACGTAATTCTACTCAAAATTGTACACTAATGGAGATGTAACTTTAGATTCAGTTACTGGATCTCCGTAACAGTTAAGACATTTCCATGGTGTTGAACCTGTACAGTCAGGTGGTGGAAGTATCCCACAATATGTTGTAAGAGACGACTTATAATGGAACATTTCTTGCAGGTTGGCAATTATTTTTATTATCCGAGGAAATCGCAGACTCAACCCAAAATGTAGTCCACGATAGTCCACGCAGCAGGTTACTAAAACTGATACCAGTAGAATAGGTAGTTGCTTTCTTGTCTTCTATTAAAACGACATTAAAGAGACGAAAATAGATCTGCTGTCCTATACCAGCACCTGGATTTTGGACGTTTTCCTTTCTTTTCTATCTTGCTCCTTTGTGCTTCATTGTTCATTTTCCATGTCCATCTTGACATTCGTCCTCATAAGAAAACATCAACATGGCAACATAATCATAATTCAAACACAAATTCCATAAACCTAGGGCATTATACTCCTGAATAAGTACAAGGAGAATAAGACCAAGTGTTCCGGAAGAGTAAGCGTCTTCTGCTTCATCGACGACACGCGCCATGTAAACCTTGGTCAACACGCAAGCTAACGAGCATCAAACACGTCCAGATTCATTTCGCATAAAGAAATATAATATTTCTCAATGAGATCACTATGGCGACCACAAAACATCCCATAATTTTTATCAACCTGCATCTTTTGAACCCTTGTGTTACGAGTTTGTCAGTCAGTTGACGACTTCTTGCACGAAAGATGCGAGTTGTTGCGAGGACGTTAAATACCGTACCAACAATAACAAAACTCCATTGTGTCACAGTAGTATTCAAGTAGCTTCTCAAATAATATACATCGACTTGTATATTTTTTTTATTTTTACAAATAATGAATTTTGCAGACACCGCCTGGTTCTATTTAACATTTTCTTCAAAACGATCGGAGGAATTCAAAGACACTGAGTGATTTTATTGTTATTTGTTTGGGTTTTTTGTTTATGAGGTTATTCGTGACCAAAAAATCTAGAGTGATGTCATTCATTCTAAACGATGCATTTCCTCAAAGATTGCTTTTTACATAAACCTCCAACGAAAGGAGACAGACACCAAGTGTTTTGAACGTTCCAACTAACTTAATATAGAGAGCCTAGTGAAAATCGGATTTATATCTGATTTTGGGGACAAAGCTTAAAAATTATACAGCGCCAAGAGATAAAACATATCCTTTACGAATACGCTTGTAGGATGCTATGAGAGAACGTGGGATTATCGATTTTGTCTTTTTACGGTAAATGTATATGATCTACAGACACCAAAGCTACAATTTACAACAGAAACATCTGTGATCGAGAGTTCTATTGTGAAATTGTTTTACATCATCTGTCACTTTTGATTGTGTCTAGATAAAACTGAAATGTGTTTAAAGATTTATTCGATCAACGATAAAATGAATCGGTATACTAAGTGCGTGAAAGCTTGGTTGTGCTATGAAAAGATTTCTGAAGTTATTTTTGGATAATAGTTTTGTCACTGTATAAGCAGCAAATTCCATTTTGACATAGGAAAAAAACACAGATCGCCATTACACGACACAAAGAAATCTAGGTCAGAATCGGTATGTGAAACAAATGGGTTCTGTTTGTACTATAAAGCATAAAAAGCCTTGAATGTTTGCCAAAACTCTTAGCCATTGATGTATAAAATACAAACGGCTGCTGCATGACAAAACAGATCCGGCAACAATTCAACGTCCTTTGGGCTCATTGTGATACGGCTTGGTCGGACTATATTAGGGACTGCTGTCTTACAATTCCTTGGCAAGCTAAATCTGTGTGGCATCCATGTAGTGTTTTGTCTTTGATGAGAGGTTACGCGGCCTATTCTCTGGACATTAGGTAAATCTCGTGGGACTTGATTTCCGTAATCATTCGCTTGTTTGTAGTTTCCCTGAAAACAGTAAAAGTCATACGAAGTCGGGTTTCCACGGAGCTGGCCACTCAGGGGATCATTTATAGTGCAGTCATATTGAAAGATCAAGACTTGTTTTAAAGTTTTCGCTTATAAATAGGGGAATTTATATTTGGCATCAAAGCATTATATCATTCGCTTAAAATCATAATGCCCCGTGTTATGGCTTCATTTATTAATACAGAAGCTATTCCAAATGAATTTAATGTGGGACAGCAACACTGTGGAAATCCATGTAGAGCTATGATGCAATTAATCCCTGCACTGAGCAACACCTAAGATGGACACAAAGTTAAACTGCATTTGGAATCGGTTTTCCTTAAAATCACCAGCACGATTGAGTTTCTGTATACATCATATTTTGCACGCTGTTTTACTGTAGTCTGCAGTGATACACTGCTCAATATGCAACTTTTTATGACGTTCAGATGACACCGTCATTTATATTTCTTGTTTTAGTGAAGGTCGGTGACGAATTCAGTATTAAATAACCGCATTCACCCTGTATTCTTGTCAACCTCTTAACAGTGATTCATGAAAAAAATCTTAAGTATTTTGTTCCTCGTCTCTTTAAATTGTTTTTGGTTTCATATTGCTTATTGACATCTGTGGTCATTTAAGGACATGTTTTCCTCTGGTAAACAAGATCTTTTTTATTGCCAAGAATTAATGTTTGTATCGTGGTTTACATAAAATAGAACAGATGACACTATGATATGACCAATGATCTGTAGCCACACAAAACGTCAGGAATAACTTCGACGAATTTTCTTGTTACATCCAGCATCATGCAGTAGTATAATCTCACGTGGTTAAACAAATCATATAGATAAACTGAATTCTAATACTAAAATATCAGCTAATGTTGATATACTGTTAGATAGGTCTGATCCAGCAGCGAGAAAGAAGAGTACGAATGAGCATTGAAGAATCGACCTTGTGGAACTGGAATCGCAGAAAGTGTTTACAACAACTATTATTGATATTCATATATTGACTTTTCTTAATAACATCAAAATTTCATGACAAGACTACTCAGCTTAATAGATCAAAAGAAATACAATCATTTCAAACGAAACCTCGGGTGACAATCCAAGTATTGTAGCTCAACTCGCTCGCTACCCGTGGCAGTGTATATTTCTGGTGATGTAAAAAAACGTACCAGTTTGTGCTTTCATGGTTGTATCCTTTGGCAAGACACTTTAACCAAATTACACTGGATGACATGCGCCGTACTTCCTTTATGTTATTCAGTAAGGCAGCCTCCAGCTGCTACTGCAAGAACACAACAATGTCTATGAAGGCTAGTTACAAGGTAAATTGTCCTCACAGCGCGTGACATAATGTTTGGTAAGGGATTTTGCTTATCTTTAACCTCCTGAGAAAAGGGCAGTATTTAATGTGGGACAAAGTAAATAGTGCAGATCACGAACCTTTATCGTGATTCTATATATAGAAACAGCCATGATCTGATAAAACTGAGTCGGCGAGTTCGATATCAAGGGGAGGATGGTAAGTTCGCTTTGTCAGCACATTAGATTCTCGATAGCATTCTGCTGTTGATATGTCAAGTGTACTGCTATTGTAAGCAGCACGAAAGCAACGTCTGTCGAAAGGTAACCCCGCAGACAAGAGATAATATGCCTCAAGATTACACCCTATATGGTGTCCTTCGTGATCAGCAGATCATATACCGGTGCGTTGTTTTGAGGTTTATACCTTGTCAGCACATTTGGTCGGAGACACGACGTATCATTGTATGTGATCCTCAATGTTACAATCACTCTTATTTGTTTGTCTGATTTGCACACTGTTTAAGCGCGATTACAGGCGTGAAAGAATTTAAGCCAAAAATCAATACGCCGAGCAAACCCAACTCGTTGGAATCTTGAGATGCTTTGTCAGCATATTTTTCTATATACATCATCATATATATCCTGGTCAGTCGGAAACCACAGATGTGATGTGGTGAGATTCACTTCCGAGGAGCTCCGAGTGGTATTCTCATCTGTTTCTATTTATATCTTGTTGAGTGCAATATTTCAGCATTAATTGCCAGCAGGTAACACATTTATAATTACTTGTATACGTGAAGCTTATCCTACTCATACAGGGGACTTCTGGAGTGTATTACTATTCTAATATTTTGTTTAATTATATTAGTTTTAAGGAAAGAAGGATAAAAAGGCGTGACGAAGATAATAGAAATGGTTTCCAGGACACTGTCAACCGTTTTTTTTAGATAGCTTGGGTGTACGACAGGACAGTCATCCTGGTCACCCCTGACGTCATTACATCATTGATAATCAGTCAACACATCAGTGCGTTTGAAGAAAAAATGTATAATTAATGAAAGTTTCTTGAATGGCTGAATCGATGAGGGTGTGTCGTTATACGTCAGGTTTACGAGTTGTGAGGATAATTGCAAGATTTTCCCATAATTGGACAGTTACTTTCCAATCTTTCCCCCAATATGTGGTTCCAGCTGTACACGATTTATTTGACTATTCGATCATTCAATATACATGTTGATACCTTACCTCCACAGTAATATCCTCATCCACAGCTATATCCTCGTCCACAGCAATATCCTCTTCCACAGCTATATCCTCATCTACAGTAATATTCTCACCCACAGCTATATCATCATCCACAGCAATATTCTCATCTACAGCTATATTCTCATACATACTGCTATATTCTCACCCACAGCTATATCCTCATCCACAGCAATATTCTCATCCACAGCTATATCCTCATACATACTGCTATATTCTCACCCACAGCTATATCCTCATACACAGCAATATCCTCATACAAAGCTATATATCCTCATCCACAGCTATATCCTCATCTACAGCTATATCCTCATACACAGCAATATCCTCATCCACACAGCAATATTCTCATCTACAGCAATATCCCCATCTCATCCACAGCTATATCCTCATACACAGCAATATCCTCATACACAGCAATATCCTCATACACAGTAATATCCTCATACAAAGCTATATCCTCATCCACAGCTATATCCTCATCTACAGCTATATCCTCATCCACAGCTATATCGTCATCTACAGTAATATCCTCATCCACAGCTATATCCTCATCCACAGCTATATCCTCATCCACAGCAATATCCTCATACACAGCTATATCCCCATCCACAGCAATATCCTCATCCACAGCAATATTCTCATCCACAGCTATATCCTCATCCACAGCTATATCCTCATCTACAGCTATATCCTCATCTACAGCTATATCATCATCTACAGCAATATCCTCACCCACAGCTATATCCTCATCCACAGCAATATCCTCATACACAGCAATATTCCCATCCACAGCTATATCCTCATTCACAGCTATATCCTCATACACAGCAATATCCTCATGCACAGCTATATCCTCATCTACAGCAATATCCTCATGCACAGCTATATCATCATCTACAGCAATATCCTCATGCACAGCTATATCATCATCTACAGCAATATCCTCATGCACAGCTATATCCTCATGCACAGCTATATCATCATCTACAGCAATATCCTCATGCACAGCTATATCCTCATCTACAGCAATATCCTCATGCACAGCTATATCCTCATGCACAGCTATATCCTCATCTACAGCAATATCCTCATGCACAGCTATATCATCATCTACAGCTTTATCCTCATCCACAGCTATATCCTCATCTACAGCAATATCCTCATGCACAGCTATATCCTCATCTACAGCAATATCCTCATGCACAGCAATATCCTCATGCACAGATATATCCTCATGCACAGCTATATCATCATCTACAGCTTTATCCTCATCCACAGCAATATCCTCATGCACAGCTATATCCTCATCCACAGCTATATCCTCATCCACAGTTTTGATATTTATGATAGTATATACATGTATCAGATGTAATACTAGGTAAAATGAGGTGTGACAGGAGCCCTGTAATAACTCATGGTAAAGACAATACAAATTTACGTGAATGAGCCTTCCATTATTTGTAAGTCTAGCATCATCGAAAGTGGTCATAGAAGAAGCGGCTGATAAAACCACTGCAGAAAGCGAGTCCCTGAATTTGCTAATCCTATTGCTGAATTTTTATTTAATTTCTTTGAGTATCCTCTAATCCCGACAGTACATGATCGAAACACTTTCTCTAGAAGATCAATATTGTTCAAAATCTTGATAACTTAAACCTTATCTGCTTTTCTCTTTTATATTTTCTAACATTAGTAGCCTAGTTGCTTTAATCTTCATTTTAAGTGTCCTTATATATATATGTATCATATTGTATATTCTTTCGCATTTTTCAAATCTTAAAAAATGGAAATTATGCTCTTGTACTTCTACATTTGTATTTTAACATTTTTGTAGTTCGACTTTGGTTTTACAAACAATTATCTTAATCCCCAACCGTTTGGTTCATAAAACCTCTAAATAGATTTAGCAGAACGAAACGGACGTGTAATGCAACTTAATTGCATGTACGGTCTATATTTAACTCTATTTTCTTTATTGGGATGTGGTAGGTGGTATTCTGTGTAATCTTGTGATAAGAGCTGTATTTGCAGATGTAAATGCTTAGCGTAATGTTTAATTTGTGCTAAAAAAAAAGCATTACGTCATAACACAACGTTAACACGTTGATCTTGAACGGATACAGTGAATAGATATATTTTGAGCCACAACCGGAAGTGACGATGAACAAGATTGTGGTCAACCTGCAATAGATATTTTAAAGAATTGACAGGAGTAAGTAAGCTTAATATCACCAGGATCACTCGAGACCATTTCATTGCCTTACGTAATCATTGTCTTTAGTTAGAATCAATTACCTGAGACACACGCTCAAATAAGGAATTGATTTTAACGCCAATAATCGCCTAACACAAATTTACGCCTACATTCCATTTAACACGGATATCGTTTCAGGTCTGGTATTTGTGGCGGTGGTTGTCAAGTTAAACCGTCGTCACAATGACAATTATAAAGACATGCAAGTAAAACCAAGCATTTTATCTTTTGTTTCTAAATTTGGATTGGGTTAATGTTGAATTAAGTGTCCTTACCTCCGGCAACTTTTTGTAATTGAGTTTAATAATAGATTATCAAATGTAGGGTCAGAGAGCTCGATGTTTTCCAAGTCTTGTCTATATTTATAGACCGTGTGGATAGTACTCTTGTAACCTTGTATGATGTGTGTTGTTGTCGGATGCTAACTTTCAAGTCGTATTATTATAACCTGTAAAAAGACGTCTACCTTCAATAACAACCTTTCCGAGTTTCAGATTTTTTCTCTGTACTTTATGTCAACGCACCAAGAGCAATGCGGAACAGGTCTCGAATTACACTGTTTTAAGAACATACATTGCATCGCCTGTACCGTCACTGTTTTGTATCAGGTGACTGCCAAATATAGTTCAGTTCCAGACTGGCTATCTTTTGTGTCCTTATTTACATAGGTAGGAAGAAAGAACTGAAGAGTTAAAGTTAGTGCCTCTAACATCGCCATCCAGTGAAAACGCATTCCTTGCTAATCCTTCCGGAGCACGTGGTCTTATCCTCATAAAACTTAATAGTGTAACATTTTTAAAATCTAATTTTGCCATTTTCTCCATCGATTTGGAGAGAGAATATTTTTTTTAACATAATAGGTATTTTTTACTACTGAGACATAAACAGGTTGACGTCTTTAGTTGTTAGAATGGTTAGAAAATGCACCAGTTTGTTTACACGAGGGAAACACGTGGTATTTACTGAAAGTGGGAATAGAGCCATTTCCTTAAAACTTTAAGTGACATTATTAAACACTGTTACAATAAAATAAGTCCTTATAAGTATTTGTTTTACAAATTAGTCCTTGAATAAAAATGATATAGTAATTTCCTCACTACCATGGTCTGGTTGCCACAAAGATAACGGCTGTGATTTGTCAGTTATTGTTGTGACGTAGATACTATTGCGTGTATCCTGATATTAAATAATACTTATTGTAATTTTTCCGCAACTCGACGTGGCTAGATAAAGCAGCTGTTTGTCAACATATTACGATATATTGACTAGGGATTTAGGTGGACTTTTGCTAAACGTCATCAATATTTCATTAAACATGATCATTTGAGAAAAAATAATACTTCCGCTTGAGACATGATTGCACTGTCCACAAAAGATAAATCCATTCACATTTCCCAGCCATACATAATTAACTGTTTATTGATATTGTCCTCGCTAAGCGCCGTTCTGTAGATGATTGTTTGAAAGAAACGATACTTCCTGCCTAAACCTATCCTCAATGGATTTGTATCCCATATGAGCAATTTTTTGAAATTGAAGACTGAAAGTTTAACCACAATCGTGTTGTTGAATCGTGATTCTAGCCGTGTATCTACCTGAAAATACTATTTTAGCCAGGTCTGGTAAGAATCGTATTCTAATATTTGTGTAATATCTATAATTTTTATACTTTAAAAGCATCTTTATTTCAATATATCACTAAAGACAGATTAAACAGTGTGTACTAACTGCAGTCAGACAGACTGATTTAACATTAAAACCACATGACAATAATCCGGGTTCGACATCCGGGTTCCCTGTAACAATCATCAGTTTTTTGTGGGAAACCCAAAATGATGTAATACACGAGAGGAATCGTTTGTCTAGACCAAATCTTTCACTGAGTGTAAAAATAGTGGTCTTTTAAAGGGACAATATTACAATACATTAGAGAAATGTGTCGCAGACGACACAAATCCCCTCGAGCCAGGATCTAATCGAAAAGTTTAAAACCATACGAATACATCAATCTGTGTATTGCTTTGACAGTAACCGAAAATCCTAGCAGATTTCTCTGTTACTGACAACTGTTTTACAATATGAACAATTTTAACAATAAAAATGGAGAGTTCATTTTTATCCAAGGAGGTCGAGGCGCCATCTCGTACCAAGGATAGAGCAGGCCGTCGAAAATTGATATACATTTTAACATTAACCTTAATTTTAGGACGGAGAATGTCGAAAAGCGACCTAGTATAAAAATAGATGATTGTAAATTTTCCTGACATTCGGCTACAAACGAAGTCTGTAGAATGAGGACATACGTTTCTATTTATAGTAACACTGAACTCAATTTTTGTTATTACAACGGGTGGAAGTAAGCGATAACGATTAATGAGAGTGTGCTATAAAATGACGTCATTTAATCGTCAACATCCACTGATTGCTACAGTTACCACTGATTTGAACACCAGGAGGTCGAGATGTGAACACATGAGTACGTATAGAAGTTCCATGGTACTCTGATGATAAATGACGTCGATAAAGACGTTGTTGGAGGACAGAAATTATAAGGACAGAACCCTATAATCCCCACCACAACTTGTTGCGAGAAAGTAATGTTTGAAATTATGGTTTATTTTGAAATACAAACTGTATATATATAAAATAATATCGTTGGAGTGTACAAGTCCCACTTTCAATGTCTGGAACGATCACATCGCATACCACAAATCATTGAAAATCAAGAAAGAACACCAGAGTATCAAGATATGTATTACATGAACGCAACTGTCGAGAATTATACCATGCGATCAATCACGATTATTACGATACAGAATTAAAAACACGTTATGTTTACACCAACTTAAGGTTCTAAAGACATGCTATATGTTTACAGAGTCGGTTCTGATATCTAGACTTCATCGAGGTTCGAACACATGACCACTGACTGAAAAAGTCTACCAGACATTAATACTGCGAAAGTCATAACTTCCAAGCGTTTTGTTAACCTAGTCAGGTCATTCAGTGCAGTTCTTACCACAGCTTAGCATGTTACTTTATAAGCATGGCCGTGCCAATGTGCATAGTTCAACTGGTCCGTTTCTTCTCTGACCTACTTTCCCATCGTCTTTCGGCAGACGATCGCGTGCATTTGTCACATTCGCGAGTTCCTTTATTTCTTTTATTGTATATTTGTGTATTGTTTCATAATATGCAATATCTGCTTTACGAGTTTTTAAAGTTCAGTTTCACACCCGTAAAAATTGACTTTGGAATGAGGTGCTATGAAATAAAAGAATCCCGATGTAAAACAGTTTCTATACGTCTGAATAACCATCTGGTGAATTACCGCATAGTGATAAAACACGTGATGCTTTATTTGAATAGTATTGAGAGCAAAACAGAACGATGTGCATACACTTTGAAATAAATGAAAAGTAAAACGAAAATAAATAGGAAAACCAGACATCTTAAGGAATGTTCAGCCATCAGTCGCTCTGATCCAATGACAAGAAATTACAACGCAGTACCATGTTTTTAATTTGGAGTGTGCTGCGTAGAATGTTGAGCGTCAGACAGATTTATACTCTGTCATCAGTCTAGACATCTCGTAAGATCGATACATGTATGAAGAGATGGCTGTCCGTATATATCCACCGCTACTTACTATCCTTACTGAGAAAATACGATAAATATTATCACTTCATATGAATAAAGTCCAAAGTAATATTACATAATACATAATACATCTATTGTGAATCAGCGAGTCTACAGTGTGGTTAAAGTTTACGAAATGATTTCATTCTTGACGAAGCTATATATATGTTTCAAGTGAGTCAGAATTCAGTAATGTCATCGTGAGGTTTTTACGTGATATCAACACATCATTCATCTAGGGATATGTGACGACTTCAATATCAATAATAAGTATTCTTTTTTCACATTTTCAACTTTTTTTTCTAGATTAGAACACAAATTCCTAAAAGCAAAACAAACGAACAAAAAATAAAAACAAAACAAATCATAACAATTATTCTTGGATCAGAAATGGATAGGCATTTTTAGCGTTATAGTATTTAATCTACCAAAGGTCGCTTGACACATTATGTAGATTTTATAGTGACACTAACAACATATAGTCCTTTCAAATCCCGACCCTTTCCTCCTCCAATCATTTTCTACCTGATGTAACAAATCGCTTGTACAACACATCAACTTTAAACGATATTTTGTATTTGTTTGACAAATGTTCA